ATAATATTTCCTAAATTGTATTTCCTTTTATATCTCGGCCTTAGTGATCAAATACTCTCATTCTTCACTCATACATCCAAATTAACATTTCTACTAACTAATTTTTTCTGAATCTTAGAATTTCAATAATCGAATTATAGTAAGACTAGAGTAATTAATTTTAATTATGGCAATGGTTTTTTGTAAGTCATCTTATTATGTTAAGTCCAAAGATTTACTAGTAAAAAAATTGGTTCACTAAACCATTTAATAAATTAAAGGAAAATAAAGAATTTAAAACAGACTTCCTATTTGTGAATATTATCAATATTATTCATACTTATTTTATATTATGCTTATTTTGTAAAATCTATTATTAATATTATTAAATTATTTTATTTTATTCATTATTTTACCTAATGGATTAACATATTCTTTTCATGTTCTATAATTTTTAATGGCCTATCCATTAATTTGATTTAATCCATAAAGTAAAGTTTTGATCTTTACTAATTACAAAATCATATTTCATTTTTGTCTAATACTAAACTTTAAATGCCTGATGCCCTCAGATATATTTTAAGGCAACTACCAAGGTTATTGCTCATATGCTAATTTCCTATATTGTCTATTTAATTATATGAATTTAAGTATAAATTTGTTCATTATTAGTTTCTACATCTATTTAACTTTAATAAAATGGATTCAATTAATCCAAAGAAGAAATTTAACATTTTCTTAACAAAAGTTATATGTTTTTCTCTGTTTAATTTACTAAATTAGCCTTGCAATATTGTGAATCAAGCTTTTGAAAGATTCTATGTGAGTTTAAAGTTGGCCTCTTTTAACTTACTTGAATAATGCTTACATCTCCCTGAATTAAAGTACTAGTGCTTTTTAGCAAAAGTTGTAGATATAATTTTTTTGAATTTAAATCTTGATCTGTTTCATTAATGGCTATTATTTCTTCGGAGTGAAATTTATACTATGCAATTCATCATTTAAACATAATAGGAATTTTATTGAATTTCAAAAGATCTGAATTATTTTGTTGTATGTAATTGAAGCTGGTTAATTTTTAATAAAAATTAGAGCATATCCTGAATAGTTTATCACCAGAACCATGGTCAAGCAGAAAAAATCAAGTAATCCCACTATGAAATATTAATCTAAGGGAAGAGCTTTGGAGAATGAGAGGAGTTTGAAATTTTTTTTGGGAAAGGAAAAGGCCTTAGAACTAAGAACCATATCTAGTAGATGTTTGATTAGCTTAAAATTTATTCATTATTTTATCAAAAATGAATCAAATATGGAATTAAGTCACAATTTTAGTCCTTATGTAAACTTTAATTAATATAGCGATCTTAAATTATCAAGAAAGCGTAAACTTATTTATAAAATAGGAAAATACAAAACTGTCTTAAATTTTGGATATGTAAATAATTATTTTATTGTGAAAAAATGAAACTGAACTAGAAGAAAAGTATGTGACTTAATTATTCTTGATAAATGTGAAGGACTATTTACACAAAACTAGAATTAATTGGTTAATTAAATCTGAGGTAGGCAAAAAAGAGATAATAAAACAAATTAAGGTCTACTGAATTTGCTTAGGAATTTGACCAACTAGGGATGTCAATTAAAATGGATAAACAGATGGCTAGATAAGATATTAAGGAAGTAGGCGAAAGTTAAATGATCAGACAATAATAAATTCCTTTGTTTATATTTTTTAAATCTAATCTAATATCATAATCTTAGATTTGAATCATGCGTGAAGTAGAAAGCTTCAGTTTGTTGTGTAAATCTTCGATTAATTACTTTAAGAAAATGATATACAAAATTTAT